CTGGGGACAGGCTATTTTCACATAGTTTCCTAAAATAGGTGGTGTTAGAATAACTTTAGAGGCCTTATAAACTCAAGCTGTCTCTATCATTTCAGATCATTTTTAAATGGGTGTTTTTCTAGAGGGTTCGGAAGCTGCAGTGCACAGGGACAGATTTTGGTCCCCCTTATGTACCTATGCAAAACCCTGCTCTGCAGAGAGTCAGGATCTAGCCCATCAGACCTGTAATTTTATATATATATATATATATATATGTTTGCTGAGCTTTCCCTGCTCTCCTGCAGCCATTATATATAAAAAATACATATCAGTGTTTAAGTCTGCCTGGGCACAGCCAGCACGTGCTGTGGATATTCCTGTTACAATTTTTTTTTAAGGAAATGCTGATTGGAAAGTTTTCATTCCTAATGGGATTTGCAGATGGTTGGTGCTTACAGGACTGCATCAAGAGGGGGGAGGCACATCTGGCAGCTGTGACCCCGCAAGCACCGCCGCTTGCTGACCCATCCATGCACTGGGGAATAACAAGGTTTGGGAGGGGGTTTTGAGGAATATACTGGGGTGTTGGAGGGGTCTGCAGTGGGAAGGGTGAGACTGGTGTTCATGGGTGTGTTGGGCACTGCATGCAGGGCTGGGGCAGGTCAGGTATTGGATGCAGGCATTCCAAATGTCCGTAAAGATTGGATGGTTCAAGCAATCAAAGTTTTTGAGATCAGAATGAGTATAAAGAAACCTATAGATGAAAGGCCTGCAAGCTTTACCTCCCTGAGTCTTCTGCTGAGCCCAACAGCATGTGTATAATTTGTTTTAATGGTTAGAAACATCTGCTGTTAAAAGTGATGCTTAATATATTTGGCTTCCATTTCCAGTCATTAGTTCTTTTTATGCCTTTTTCTGCCTAATTAACAACCTTTTAGTACCTGATATTGTTTCCACTGAATGTGCTGCTATATCGTAATCAAGTCACTTCTTAATCTTCTCTTTGATAAACGAAAAAGATCAACCTCTTCAATTCTCTCATTTCAAACACTTTCTGCATCCCTAGAATGACTCTTACAGATCCGGTCTATATCTCCCGCAGTGTTTTACTAATCTCCTTAAAATGTCGGTGTGGAACCGTTGAGGGCTCTGGAAAGAGTCCCTCGGTGCTGGAAGAGGAGTCTGAGCCACCTCCTCACTCCTACTTCCAGCTCCAGGCTTCCTGCACAGAGCAAGTGCGGGTTTGCCAGGCTGCAAAGACTCATCTTCGTCACTATTTCACATATGGGGGGATGAACAGGATAATCTTTAAGGTCTCTTCCAACCAAAACCATTCTGGTTTTACCGAAATCCACCGTGTGTGAGTGGTGCTTGCCATAGTGAGCTGATGAGTCAGCTGTGACACTGGTGAATCCTCTTTGTCCACCAGCTCAGCCAGGTAACTAGTCCAAAATACATTTAGCATATTCACAATTCATATTCTGTAGTGCTTTTTTTTTTTTTTTCTCAGCATGTCATACATTACTAGGTCAAAACACCTTTTGGACATCAAGGATATTGCTTCTGTGCATTACTAATATCAAATGCGCAGGGAATAAAATCAGGTTTGCTTTGCTGTGACCTATTTTTCCTGAAACCACGTTGACAGGCATATATATGAGTGTCCTTCAGTTCTCTGCCCTGTCTTTCTGCCTTGGACAGATGTCTGGCTCTCTGTCCCCTTCAGGCCATACCTTTGCCTTCTTGGATATTCAAGCAGAAGACTCTTCCAGACTTGTAAAATTTCCTCTTAAAAAATGAACATCAGCACACAGCAGTTTTCTTAGTTCTCTTAGATCTCTTGGATGCAAAATTATTCAGATCTGCCAAATTTAAATGTCTTCTGGTGCTGGTAGATGTTGTTGAATGTTCTTCTCAATTGCTAATAAGTTGGAAGCACTTCATCCTTATAACGAGTGTTATCCTGCTTGTTCCCAAATGTTCCAGGACAGTAATTACAGCATGTCCATCATATCTGTCTCATTAACAGCTCCCCCATCTCCACCCAGTGATGGACCCCTGTCCTTTCTAGGAAGAGCCTGGGTGTAAGTCTTTACTAATCCAACCCCTGAAAGCTTTGATTTGGTGGAGAAGTGGGCGAATAGGACCCAAAAAGAGATGAAACTGGACTATTTGGTTGTCCTGCATCACCATCCTCTAAACGCTCCTCTTCTTGCCTGCAGACTCATCGTGCAGGGAGAAAGTGCTCCAAAACCAGTAGAGAAGTAGGTGAAAGAATGTGAAAAGAATCATTTATCCTATTACTTCTTCATCACCCAGGCTTTTCCACCCTCCTTTCTCTTTCTTGGGGAAGGGATCTTTGGCAAGATGACTCGGCCCTTCCTCTTTGCTATCTTCCCTCCAGCATCCTTTAAGTTGTCTTTGATGTGTGTAGCCCACACAGTGTGTCATTGGTTGCATCAGTGGAGGCCGGTCAGGCAATTTGTGATAATCCCAACTCAATTTACATTTCAAATGCTTGCTCTGGGAGCCCATCTCCCCACTGTATTCCCTGCAGCTTTCTCCTGCTCCTCAGGACAGATGTTCCCCAGCAGTTGCTCACCAAGTCGCAGGGAGCAATTGGATGTTCCCTATCCCAATGGATAACCCCCTGGCTTTTTCCTGCCTGGGTTGCAGGTTCATTGTGGAAAGTGAGAAAGCTGCAATGACCACCTTGTTCTCCAGCCCTGAGCTCAGGGAGATCCTGGTGGGCTTGTCCAGCTTGCCTGGCCACGGGACCCGGGCATGGTGCCTCCCAGTGCCCAGGTTTTCCTGCAGGAGCCTTGGCCAGGGCCAAAGTAGGCACTGTGTGTGGCACAGGGAGGGGATGGATCTCCTCTTCCCCCCATTTCCACCTCACCAGAGGGTCTTAAAGTGTGGGTAAGGAGATTATGTGGAGAGGGAAGATTTGAATTTCTTGCGTCTGGGGAACAAGAAGCTGAATAGAAAGGATTGGTTCTCCCTTAATTTGAGCTGATGGGGATGGTGGGCAAAGCTGATGGGATTTTGGTAGACACTGTCTTGAAATAGAATAGTGGGAAGAAATTCCAGGGGGTGTGAAAGCAAAAATAACGCAAGAAATTCTGGATGTCAGAAGAGAGACAGCAAGACCATAGAAAATTATAAAAACCAAAGCGCTATTTTCACAAACTAAATATAATGTGGCTCGTTCGGAGCAGCTTGGAGAAACGACAACGTGAAGCAAAATTGCTGGGGAAAAGTCGAGGCTGCTTTTTCCTCGGCTCTGAGTGAAGGACTCGAGCGGAGGCTGGTGCAGAGAGTGTCGTGGGAGCTCAGCAAGCACAGTGAAGGGTGGGAAGAGCACAGAGCTGACATGCAGCCAGGATTGTAGGGTGTTAGGAAGAGCTCTGCTGGAGATGAAGGGGCAATGCAGAGCCTTGGCACCCAGCAGGTGCTGGGAAGAGAGGGAAAGGGGCATGGTGGGCAGGTGGATATTTGTTCATCCACACACCCTCCCTTAGTTTGAATCCATCTTTCCTGGTCGATTTGAATTTCCTCTGGTTTTAAAAGTTTATTATCTGAAGGCTGGGCTTTATGAGAGCCCTCCTGGGGAGGGGACCTGGAAGGAGGGCTCCAGGGCACACCTACCTCTCCTCTTGAGGACTCACCATCCTGTCCCGTCACGGGACCTGCCATAACACCCAACTGCATCTCTGCAGGCAGCTCCTTTGAGCAGAAAGAGGTTGAAGCATGCCTGTGGCTGGAGTGTGGGGGGAAAAACCCTGTGGCCAGGTCATGAATCACCTGTGCCTCCAGCCGCAGGACCAAAAGGCCTCGCAGAGCTGGAGCCGTGGGGCTGGGTGAGGAGATTAATATCTCTGCAGCAGGGATTAAGCTGAGCCTTAGAGGTGATCCTGGAATGAGGAGATGGCTTCCTGAATGAAAGGCAGGAAAATCCACATCTCGTGCAGTGGGTGCCGGCCCGTGGGATGTGCAGCCCCTGGAGAGCACAGGGGCTGGGAGCTGTTGGATGCTGCTTCTGCCTGGCTCTGGGTCTGCTTGTCCTGGGTGCTGCTCCAGTTTTTGGGAATGTTCTGGTCCTTTTTGCCACTTTAGTTGCTTGTCTTGGAGAACTGTTTTGCGAGCAGACCTGGCTGTCCTGCTGACTGTGCTGTATACTAATACTTGTGGAGCCACTAAGCGTCCTGGTGATTCCTCGTGTTGAAAGGCTTGTACAGCCTCTTTAATTAACTTAATTCAGACATTAGTGTGTCACAAGGAACATCTCTCGAGAGGGGAAGTCTTTCCTTTATCACCACTTAGCCAGGGAACATTATATTTTTCATTTGCATCCAAAAGTTCATCAAAAGGGCAAGAGTGAAAATTAACCCTTTGCTCCCTTTGCCTGCCTGGAAGTGAAGATGCATCATGCAAGGAGAATGCACTCCTGCTGTCCCTTACAGGGTTCCAGTGCCAGATTTTGGGGTGGGATATCACAACCACCACACTGATTCCAGAAAAGCCATCTCTGCTGGCCCTGGAGAAGTGTTGGGCATGGCACAGTGGTGTTTCCTATAGGAAGCACTCAGAGTCTGAGGGACCCTGGCAGTTTTCTGTGCTAGCTCTGGTCACCAAGCAGGAGGACAAAATTGGGCATTAGGGAAGGCGGGGGGGGGGCCATGAGCCCTGGGAAAGGCCCCTTTTCCCCCAGGGAAGGCAGGGCCTCATGGCTAGCAGTCGCTTCACAGCAGAAGCCTTGGAAGCAGACCAAGGCTAATTAAAGCTGGCGTTCACGCTGTCGTGCTGTGCCGTGGGTACCTGTGACAGATGGGGGCTGCTCACCCTGACTGTGAGATACTGGTAGTGAAGAACATGGTACCAGAATGTTTTTCAGGGGCTGATGGCTGGTTCCTATGGCTACGTGGGCTCTGCTGGGGGGAAGCTGGGGGTGTGCTGGGGCTGCCTGCGGGTGTCTGTACCTGCCCACCGCTCACTGTCCGCGTCCTCTCCTTGTCTCACAGGTGAAGGAATGGCTGTGCTTGAACTGTCAGATGCAGAGGGCGCTGGGGATGGACATGACCACCGCTCCTCGCTCCAAGAGCCAGCAGCAGCTGCACTCCCCTTCGCCATCCCCCTCCCACTCCCCAGCCAAGCATCCACCACCCTCGGGTCCAGATAAGACCCCTCCGGCCCCCCGCACCCAGCCCCAAGAGCCACCCAAACCTCACCCCACCATGCCGCAGAGGGAACCGCACGGCCAAGGACAGCCAAAACCTCAGGAGGCAGCCAGGTCCTCCCCGCAGCATCAGCCAGCCAAGCCTTCCCCCTCCGAGCAGAGAAAGGCACCGGGAGATGTCGGGGCGAAGCCTGCAGCCCCGGCTCCCGGGGCTGGGGCACCAGAGCAGCCCCAGGAGGGGCTCACGGGGAAGCTCTTTGGCTTTGGGGCGTCCCTCCTCACCCAGGCCAGCACACTCATGTCAGTCCAGCCAGAGGCCCCCCCTCCGAGCCAGCCATCCCCTGGCAAAGTGCCTCCAAAAATCGTCTTCAGCGATGCCAGCAAAGAAGCTGGTCCCAAAGCCCCGGGGGCACAGGGCCGGGCCGGTGCCGCACCGGCCACGAAGCCAGGCAAGCCAGAGCAGGGTGTTAAGCCGAAGGAAGTGCCGAAAGCAAGGGTCTCGTGCCCCCTCTGCAAGGCGGAGATCAACGTGGGCTCCGGCGAGCCCCCCAACTACAACACCTGCACGACCTGCCGGCAGCAGGTCTGCAACATGTGTGGCTTCAACCCCACGCCTCACCTGGTGGAGGTAAGGGGGCTGGTGGGGGCGGTGTCTCCTGGCTTGAGGGTGCGTGTTCTCTACTTGCTTAAAATGGAGAAAAGATGATGTGTTTGCTTTCAAAGGTCAAAATAAACCTTTAAGAAACTGCTGAAGCCAAGTCGTTCCTGGGGCAAACCCCAGGGCCGTAGGCCATGGTCCTCCACCTCTTAGCAAAGACTTGGATTTCATGTACGTACACTGATTTCGTGCTAGTTTCATGGCTGTTGTTGAGGGCACCTCTAGCAGTGCCCACTGCTCCCCAAAGGTGTCCAAGGGTATGGAAATAGGAACAGGTCATGCAGGTGCCAGAGTCACCAACAAGCATCCTCCTCCTGGTGCTGTGGATGGATGCCTTGGCCAGACTTGAGATGAGGCTAATGAGGGATGTTCTGCAGGTCCTGCATCCTTGGATGGTGAGGGTGCAAGGAAAGTGGTGTGGGGAGGAAAGTCTCAGGATGTCAGCAAGAAGAGCCTGGGTGCAGGGCAGGGGAATGGGCTGAGCATGGGATGGATGTGGGGATGCCCGCAGTGCTGTTTGAATGTGAATTGTGTGGGTGTCCTGCAGCCTGATGAGATGGAGTGCAGGCAGAGAAGAAGGCAGGTTGAGGTGGTCTGCAGTCCACCTAGTCTCACCAGCTGTAGTTGAGGCTGTCTCTGAATTATTGTGCTGCCTACCCAGATCACCTTCCCAAGCACCAAAAGGGCACCTTAGCCAACTTTAGCAAGGGGAGAGGAGAGTGGTACAACCGGGTCTCAGTTGGAGCATCCCTTCCACCTTGGAAGCTAGGGAGGAAGATCTTCCAGACCCTTGGAAAGGAACTCTGTTGAAGCCTAGACCCTCACCCCCTGCTGCATAAGTGATTTGAGACCCTGACCAGAGGAGGCCCAGGGCCTTGCTCCTGAAGTGCTGCATCTTGCAGCCAGTAAGACACGGAATCGATACCATCAGCACATGGAGAAGTTAATGAGAACTTTAAATGACCAGAAGTAGGATTGCTAATCTTGGCTCTGTTCCACAGCAGATAATTACATTTTATGTCCCTAGCTCCTCCCTGCAGTTTCAATTACACCCAGTAATTTTCTGTTCTTCTTGATGCTGCTGCTGCTCACGGTCACGGTGGTGGTGGAGGAGAGACACTCTCCCAGCATGTGTGTGGAGGTGCAAACTCCCCAGATGGCCACCTCCTTGGTCATAATATGCTGTTTTCAATGCCAATGCTCTTCTCCTGCTCATTGCTCCCCCCACTGCCCCCTCCTTACTCAAAGGACTTGAGTGAGGAAAAAGAGTATCCAGGTGTTTGGTCCCTTGAGCCCTGTGTTGCCATGCCCTTGGGCAGTGATGTGTTCCCAGGCTTCAGAAAGCTCAGGGGTTGGTGAAAAGGCTTTAATGTTCTCCCTGGCACCTGGCTGTTAATTAATTAATTAGAGAATTAATTTGGGGTTGTGTTGTAGCCAATAATGTGGTGCTCTCTGCAGGTACCAGGGAAAGGTGAGCTCTCCCTAGCACTTGTCTCCAGGGTCACTAGCTGACACCTGGGATTAAATTTCAGATTTTGAAGGCTGGACTCTGCGTGGGCTCCCTCAGCTCTTGAGCAAACACCTTCAGACACCTTTGGCAAACCCACCCTTGCACGTACGTCTCTCTTAGTGTTTCTTGCTGCTGCTCATCCCTGCAATATCCACGTGCCTTCACATACAGTGAAGGCCCACAGCAAGGTCCTACCTGGGCTTTGTGTTGTCATGGGTTTTGTTTCCCTTTACACAGAACCATTATCTGGGTCAAATGGTTCGGTTGGCTTATGGGATTTATTTTTATAAAAGTTGAGAAAGAAATGCAACACTTGAGCTGTGAATGTTCTTAACAAAACCTTTCTGAGGAAAGGAAAACATTGCAATGTCTGTTAATATGGTTGGGCTTTAGGTTTGTTTGATTTTCTGGGAAAATTGCTCTGTGGTCTGATCTCTTTTTGCCTGCAGCTCACATGGGCTTGTCCCAAGCCCTGAGATTGATGCAAATACCAGAACTCACTCTTTGAAGTAGTGAGGCTTGATCCATTAATTGCTTGATGAATTAGGACCTTGGCTATAAGCTGCCCTTGGAAGTTGTGTGAAAACTAATGAGGGATTTGAGCCGTGGTCTGGTAAGTGCGGAGGAGCACAAGCTGCGGGTGAGACGGCAGCACCCTCTGTACGCACTGAGGGAGCCTGGGCAAAGGCTTCCAAAGCCTGCACCCTGGCTCCAAACAGCATCAGTCACAGGGAAGAAGAGGGCATGGCCCACAGTGGCCTGGTTTTTGGAGAAAGGACAGAGTGTTGCAGGAAAACAGTGCAAAAAGCACACATTTCCTGCAAATAAAGCTGTATTATCATTGCAAGCAGTCAAGGCTTTGTCACAGTGTTGTCAGTGCACTGCACATGGTTATAGCTTCATAGCAAAGCTGCATAACCATCTTGTGAGGGGAAAAAACCTTAAGTAATGTTTGCATCCTCATGGAAGATAAGTATTTTTGCTGACGAGCTCACTTCCCCTGCCAGCGAGGCAGGACTGAACTCACAGTGCAGGACACTGGTCTCCCTGTGCCAGTGTGGGCTGTCCCAGCTCCATGGGAAGCATCACTCAGTCTCAATCTGATACTTGTTGGGAGGCTGGTGATCCCAATAGTGCAATGGGAGCCAGCACCTCTTCCCTTGGGACCTCAGCTCCTTCGTGGCATCCCACATAATGCTGAGGGTGAGGAGAGTTCCAGCAGCCACTAACTCTGGTTCTTTAGCTTGTGCTGACTTCACATCCATCGTGGCTGTCCAGGAATAGTCCCTGCAGGTGGCTGAGGTGGATCTTGAAGGGAGCTTTGACCAGAGCAGATCCTTGGGAAGGGGACAGGAGGTATGGAGGAACTGCATGCTTAGAGGGGCCCCATGAGATGTACTGGCCTGCTGGTGGAGGTGAGACAGTGTTAGGCTGTTGCTTCTGTGTTTTTGCTATGTCGATAGGCAACCAGCAGGACATGGCAGTCCTAGCTGGACAGAGAGTCAGCATTACAAGAGGCTGCTGGTCCAACCTCTGGGCTGCTCTCAGCAGAGCAGGGGGGTGTGGGAGATGTTGCTGCCTGATGATCACTGTTATGAAATGGGGGGAAGAAAATGGAGAGTGAAATCCAGAAAGCAGTGAAGGCTGTTGCCCCTATCTGTAGCCCCCTAAAACTTCTGATTTCCCTGGAAAAAGATGCATTATTATTTACCCATGGCATTTTCATCCCCATCCCACTCCTGATCTAAAGATGGATTTGGAGGCTCTGTGTCCCTGCCGTCCCCTCCCACCTCTGCAGCTGCCTGGGGAGGTATCCAAGGAGCTGCCTCCACACCAGCGCTCCATTCAGTCAAGCACACTCAAACCTACCAAAAGAGAAAATACTAAAAGTGACTTGCACTAAAGGTGACTTGCTCTTCCCTTGTGTTCTCTGCACTGCTGTGGACTGATGCTCATCCAGGTGAAGGTTGCCCCAAGAATATCCCACCTGTGAGCAGCTGGGTAGTGCCTCTGAGCCCAGAGCCTCCATGGGATCCACCAGCAAGGCTGGCTTTGCTCAGGCCGTGAGTCTTGGTGGGGAGGGTCAGAAGGTGCTGGTGACGACTGGGAGCCTCAAGCATGTGAAGAGTTCAGGGATAAGGACAGCATTTTGGTAGCACATCCTAGGAGAAATGTGTCATCTGTGGTGGTCTGTGGCACTGGAAGCTGTAGGTGACCAGCAGAGGAAACCCAAAAGCATGCCTGACCTCCACTTCCTTTGCTTGCTCACCATGATATGCATTACCCAGCTTTAAATAAGTTGTTTATGTGAAATACCAGGAGTACAGGTGCCAGCTTCCTCCCACCTCATCACACCTCCTCCAGGAGCTGGCTCCTGGGAGCAGTACCATGAGCTATTCCCAAGCCAGGGCTGACGCTTTGGGACTCTCCCAAATTCCCTACAGCCTCAGCCTTGTGCCATGCCGGCAGGGAAGAGGTTTTTGTTGCAGGAAGACCAAGTGCTGGGCTGTTTTGCCGGGGATTTAGGAAATCATGCCTGTTTGTGGCAGAGTCTGCTAAGGGAACAAGTAATCTGGCAAGAGCTGGCTTGCAGTGTGATTGCCCTGTGCTGGCACAATGCTCTCCCAGTAACCCCAGTTGACCCCAATTGACTCCAGGGGTTTTGTATTAAGGAACAAATGAACTATGCATGTTGTGTTACTAAATAAACATGGCAGGATGCCCCTTTGCCTAATTAACCAGCCTGAAACAGGAGCAGTGACCAGTTTCATTGGAGAGCGCTGCTGATGTCCAGGTGCCAGGCTGTGACCTCCAATGGGTACCTGACCCTCAGGAGGATCTTCTTACAGATTTGTGGTGCTCACCATGCCACATCCAGATCCTAAAACTGCTTTTTTTTCTCGTTTTCCCTGTGCATTGTGAAAAAAAATCTCTTTTTTATAACACTTGTGTTGTCATGGGCAGTGCTACTGCATTGCCCTGTCTGGTCTCACCTGTTACTGCTGTTGGGTTCCTTATTACGTGTATTATATGCATGTATAATACAGTATATGCTTATCACATGGGGAGGCACTGGAACAGGCTGCCCAGAGGAGCTGTGGATACCCCGTCCCTGGAAGTGTTCAAGGCCAGGTTGGATGGACCCTGAGCAACCTGGTCTAGCAGAAGGTGGACCTCAATGGTCGTGAAGGTCCCTTCCAACCCAAACCATTCTGTGATTTTATGACTATCCTGGATGTGGTATCACAAAATGCAGGAGCGGCGTTCGCTTGAGCCCATCATGGGACATGTTCCCGTTTTGCTGCTCCCCTTGCACCTGCAGCCAGGTACAAACCAGCCTGTTTGGATGGATTTCTTGCAGCTTGTGAATCACCCTATCAGATACTTTCCAGAAAGCTCTGGTCCTCTCTTTTCATCACGCTCCAAGACCTCACACTGCGTAAAATTGGTCGCTGAGCAG